ACACTGGACGAATAAATAAATTATATATTATTATTACCGATCGACTACATATTTTATACGATTTGTACATGATATGTAATATACGTACATACAGGTCAAGTTACAGTGAATGACAATTCAAATTTTTTATCGCAATATGGCTTAGGTATTAAAATGTATAGTTACTTTTATCATATCTCCTTAAAGGTCAATATTATAATCGAGAAAAGCCACTTATCTCAAAGTCAAATCTCGAACCCATACATTATTGATTTAGGCGTATATTAAAATTATGTTTAAAATTAAAACCCTATAACAGTTATGGCAATATACACTCGTAAAATTATAATAGTTAAAAATAAACAAATTTTTAATGATAATATAAACTTGATCACATGATACCAACTGGGTACCTGATGGTCAAGGCTGAACTTAAATAATGCTCACTATGCAATCATACGAATGACAGTTAAGCACATCGTAGTTCACTGTACGAATTTTACAGGGGCCAGCACATGACACAAAATGTATATGAATAATTTAAAATCCAAATAAACTAATATGGTATTTCACAAAAACTAAAATGTATAAAAAATTAATGTAATATAAATAATTGCATGCAAATGCAATAAATTATCCCTTTAAGTTGATGCTCAAAAACAGTAATAATGCACAAAAAAATGCACGAGGGATGGTAAACCCATGCCACGTGAAAAATTGAAATGCTTATTATATTTTATTTTATTTTTAATAAAAAATAATGAGATCGTCATTTATTTTTTTATTTATATATTTTATTTCATAATTGAATAAAGAGGAGGAAAACAATCAGGCAATCATTGGCTAAAGTTGGGAAAATGTGCTATCCTTAGTCTAGACATTATCAACTTATTATGGTTGTAGTGGTTAATTTTAGATTATAAGTGGAGCGATAAATGTATTGGGTTTACCATGATTTGTATATTTTTGTGTCTGTATACACGAAAAGTAGTAGAAAAATTCTTTAATTTTCAACTTTGAGGGTGGTTTTTGATAGAAAATTAAATCTAGTTGTTACTATCAAGAGATCAAAATTAAAAATTCCCAGGACTTTTCATAATAATTAGGAAAAAATAAATTAAGCAAACTAAAAATAAGGTAATAAACACATATTTCATACACGCTATATATATGACATTTTCAAATTCAATGGCTCCGAAAAAAATTGATTCAAGTTACTGTATTACTATTTGTAAAATAAATTACTTTAATAACAACATAAAATTATATTTCGTAATTTAAGCTGACAGATCGTTTAAGTTCATGATCATTTTTCGTATAGGTATACATTGATATAATACTATTGAATTAAAATTTAAAACACCCATTTTAGTGACCCACACTACACCAAATGTACAGCAAAACAGTAACCACTTGCCCACCTTTTTTAATTTGATTAGATCGATGTAAATCAATCACGTAATAGTTTATTATAATTGGCCACCATTATCAAAAAATATAGTAAAGTATACTGTAGTATACGATTAATTGATTGACTTAATTACAACAGACGAAAATACAAGCCAATGAACTTAACTATGTATTTAGTTAGGAACCTTCAGTAACCAAAGCGTAAGGTACGATAAGATTAGGATTAAAATATCATATAATTATAAAGGAAATAGCAGCCTGTATGACGTTAATTTTAACCTATATATTCTATTTTAATGTTAATGACGTTGAAGGTAAACAATATGTTCGTTAAAGACTGAATTGAAAATAATGAAACTAAATTAATGATTTACAAAAGTCATCGATAAAAGATATTCAAGAAATTGACGGTACAAATTATAGTTACCAATTCACATACAAATCAATATACATATTATTACTTTTTTTAAGCTATTTCAATAAATATACTTTTAGAAATAAAACGGTAATATTATTTTAATTAATGCACGTGCTTACCACTCTGCTGTGCATTAGATGTAGTGACCCATTGTAATGTATGTGTTAAATTTTAATTCAATGATATTATTTGGTTGTATACGAAATACGATTTTGAGAGCAGATGGTCTGTCAGCCTACGAGTATATTACTAAATATAATTTATGATATTATTGAAATAATTTATTTTACTATAAGTTATACGTAATACAAATAGTAAGTTATGTCCATAAACATTGCATTAGCAAATGCATGTGTGTATAAAATATAATAATACCTATACCTACTTATATACTTTAAAAATTTCAAGTATCCGTGAATAATATGTTTAAATTACAACAAAATAACGGAGATTGTTCTTTCATTTGAATATTTAATTTTTTTTTTTAATTTGAACTTATATCTATAAAAAAAACTGTTTGTATACATATATTTTAATTTATTTGGTGACAGTAAGCACTACTAATGAGAAGCCTTATATTTAAAAAAGATTTTGATAAGATTTTATCCATAATCCATACACCTTATTATGCTTATAATATATTGTCTTTTTCAGTTATTGGGAGTTTTGAAAACTTCAAGGTTTTTATTGTTGAGTTTTTTAGAAATATTTGAAAATTATCTAAAGAAAAAAAAGCCTTGAGTTAAACATTAAACTAAGTATTATAGTATATAGTCATAGTTCAAATTAACGTTACAATAAGAGAACGTTTAAAACTGCACGTGATTGACACTCATAAAGACTTTAACAGCTCTATACAGTCTTGAACTTGAATGTTTGCGACCATGTGTTCGTATAATATATATTATGTAAAGATACAGTACCTTAAGTCGTAAAATAGTTGTAACAACACTTATTAGGTAGTTACTTATTACCTTTATTGAAGTAATATATCAATTAATTTAGTTCCACAGTTCTCTATGTATAGGTACACAAATACAAATACAAAATACTTATTAATTACAGCTTCTGTAAATGAAAAAAAAAACATTAAAATTTAAAGCGCGTAGCATACAAATATATTTTTTTCCACATTAGCTATAATAATTGGCATCATAATTAGTACTTGTGTGTGTGGTTGCATTACATTTTTATACGTGCATGGTACACTAAACTCCTACGTAACGTCACGATTATAAAATGTGAAATGTAAACTACGAATAAAATGTCATATAATATTACATCTATTGCTCTTTCCTATGTATACAAATAAGTGATTGCACATTATATTAAATTATGTAGTATGAAACTATAAAAAACTATAAATACTGCAAGTCACACTACATTGATAGTTATAATATATAGTTTACAATAATTTAAATAGTTTAAGAATTTCATTGTAAAACAAATTATACATATATCCAGGACTCGGTGTATCAGATACGAGCTTACCGCGGTTAGTATACGAATCAAATCTTATTACTGTAATTAACTATGTATTAATATGTTGCTGAAATAAGTAAAAGTGAATTTCTGTGATTTTAAATTGTTATTAAAACATGAAAAATTAGTCCAAAATAATTAGAGGTATCGTGATATTGAGCCTTCGGTGAAATATTATGTAACAAAAAAAAACGATTACAGATAGAAAAGAAACAAACATTTATAAATTATAAGTTAATAATATTACGCTGTTACTTCGTAATAGTTATTTGTCGTGTAAATTGTTGATAAGATTATTGTGTCCAGCTTCAGACACTGACACTATTTCAAGTTAAACGTATTTGTTGTGTTTTCTGTCTTCACTGGCGAAACGCAAAATACAACGCACCAGTTTATTGAACCTTATACAAATATAAAAAGATCTATTTTGACGAGACTTCATCTTAATAAATGACTTTGAGAGTTTTATTGATATTTCAATATTTTTAGCGTACATTTTATTAATTGATATCGTAGTAGGAACTTAAAAACACCCAATAACAGGAAACGTGATAAATGATTGCCTAACTTATACGCACGACCGATTTGGTTCATTTTAAATAACCTCCGATAAATAATATTATTGTTCTGTGTCGATTTCGATACAATAACACCATACAGGATTACAATATTTGTTATTCAAAATTACAAGTGCAACTAACTTTTTATATTATCAAGTGATTCGCAACATTACATGGTTAAGTTGAACATAATATTACATAGAAGATTTTATTTTTTTGACAGATGGATTTATCATTGTGTTAGACTAAATTCATAAATGTTGTCAGTCCTTTTTAATCTGTTTCAACCTCAAATTATATTATAAAACAACGTACCTACTATTTTAACATTCATATGCAAATATATGCTATTGACCATATCTTATACTAGACTTACCGGTATCAAATAATACGTATGATAGTAAGTTGTTAACATAATGAAACACAAACATAATGACGGATAATATACAATATACAAAAAAAAAAAATATTATGTAGGTGTATCAATAATAAAATCTTTTTGTAACACGGCGCTATAGATAGGCAATTTAGGTACACTGCAATCGGAGTGGGAACATTCATTTATCCAGTAAATTATTAAAAACAGATAAGCTCCAAAATCTTGGAAGACGTCATCGTTTTTGTTTATTTTTATTGAAGCACATTTTGCTAATTCTCAGTCCTGAAATTTAATTGTTAACGTTGCTTAATTATTGCTATTAGACACCAGACCAATCACCAAACCGCTAAAAAAATATGTACACAAAATATGTATATTAAAAATATCCACAACAAATACAAATAAGTTTTTATTAAAAAAAAAATTGAGATTCAGCAATAGTATATAAACAAATTTTGCTTGGCAAGCAATTTGAAATTAATATATATTTAAATAATATACCTATATAATATATATATTTATAAATACAACTAAATTCGTCAAGGCTAAAAACTCAAGCCCTGTACTGAAAAAGCTAAACGTTATTACAAAAATAAGTTTCTATTAAAAAATATATGTAGGTATATAATATAATATAATATCTAAAATTATGACTTATTATTATATTTATTACTATTATAAAACCAATAAAAGTATAATATGAATCGATGACTGGGCTTAAAAAAATGTAAAAAACAAAACAATAGTAATAATAATATAAACAACAATAGCACAACGATAACAGGATTGATGACGGTGACTATACCTATAAAATGGGAGGTGGTGGTTTTGGTAGTCACGCCAGGAAGTCGGTATTTATCTGTAAAGTGTGTTGGTAAAGTTTTGTGAGATGAATAAAACACGGCAGTGTGAGGAAGAGAGTGAAAACTGGCCTAAACTGCTTACACGACTATCATTATTCAATATTTCAAAAACTCAAAAAACAAAAACAAATAATTTAAAAACAACAAAATATTATACGAGTACATCGGGAAATTACAAAAGCGGCGCGTGGGAGTAGTGATGATAATATATCATGATATTATAACAACGTAATAATCATAAAACGTGCAGCGGTGGTCAGCCCAGCAGACCTCTGGTCTCGTCGGCGTAGCTGTTGCCAATATGGCTGCCAATGACCAGTTCGCTCTCCTTCCGGTTCCACGTGCCCAACCGATTCTTGTAGCTGCTACACGCGATTATGCCATCCATGCCGGGTGGCCTTTCCGGGGGCACTGGGCACGTGAGCGCTGACGTCATGAGCCCGTTGTACCCTCCACCGTTCTCCGTCACAGACTTGACCAGTGGATCCATCAAGTTATCTAGACTGTGCACGTCCTTGACCAGCCTCGGCGGCCGGGAGAAAATCAAAAACAGCGCTACGGCAACACCCTGCGAAGGAGAAGAAGGAGAGATGAAAATGAGAAAAACAACAGGAAATAACCGTAAATGTATTTAATTTTTTTACGCCAATGTCGAAAATGAAATTACGGCATAATAACCATCACAGCAATATTGGTAAACTAATGAAAAAGAAAAAGGTCTTAGCAGAATGTAACCTAACCACTATTTTTGAAACTTAGGTGCAGTTTACTTCCACATGTTTTTTTTTTTTTTTTATTAAAACCAAGTCTATTATATTCTAAATAATGAATTCCATATTACATCATTTAAATGCCTATACTTTAGCCATCAACGACAGCCTTTACTCGTGTATACTGTATTGAGTACTAATAATGCAGTAATAGTCAAAGACCCTGTAACTTTGATTAACCTAATAATTAAATTATCAACTTCATTACATGAGTTTTCAAAATAATAACTTATTAAATAGTTATTTAAAATTCATCGGTATGATTACAAATAAATGTAATTATCAGAAATTACAAATTACAAATTAAGTATAACATTTTGACATGCATTACTTGGTTTGAGTTCAATTAATTTAATAATATTATATTATGCTAGTGAATACAATATAGTGTCGCTTAAAAATAGAAGAACATTGCATGACGTATCTTGTTTTTATAAACTTCTAAACTTCCAAATAATTTGTCCAGAACTCCTTAGCCAAATGCTTCTAAGCGTTCCTCAAACTAAAAGCCGTGTATCAAAAACGTTTTATGTTCCTACTTATCGTAATAAATATAATTCCTTGCTCAATTCCTTGCCTTAGAATGGTATGATTATTATTCGGGGAATGATTGAATAAATAGCTTACAATTAATAGATGGCGAATAATAGACGAGATTATAAACGTAGGTCTATTCACGTAATACTCACACTCGGATACGCTACTTTTATAAGTACAAAATTTAGAATTTTTTTATAGCTGTGAGGTTCAACTACACTGATCGATATATATATATATATAATATTTGATCACCAATACAAAATATAAACAAAGTGATTCACCATTAAATGCTTTAAGACTATAATATTTTAAAATATTTAAGTTTTTTTTATTATATTTAAGGATTATTCAATGGAGAACTGCCACTGTCTAACTGTTAACTGTTTAAAAGATAATTTTTGAAAATTATAATGTATCTTATTAGGTAATATACAATCCATAATTCGAACGAGTAATAAAGTTATTAAATTAATTTAACATTAATTTATTTACAAAGATAATATTCCTACATAGTGGTTTCCAGTAGAATATCAAATATATATTATACTAGCTGTAATGTCCGACGTTTCCATGCCGAACATTTGATTTTTTTTTAATATATTCATAAAAAAGTGTATGCCACATTTTTACTAATTATAATAGTAGGTTATGTAATAATTAATATGTAATCAATGGCAACGATTTAAATAAACAAAAATAATAATGGTTTTGTGTGAGCTGAAAAAAATGCACGTGGGAGCGATCCTTTAGCTACCTACAGGGGTTAAAAAAAATGTTAAAACATTCTCCGTGTTACACTCTATCGTTTAAAAACCCACCTCATGACTATCCAATGAGTAGTACCCGAGATCATTGAGATCAAAATTCTCATTTTCACATTTATATACGAGTACATAGTCATATAGATTTAATCTAAAATAAATATGTTTGTATCATGTCAAAATGAAATATTAAATAATATAAAAATCTAAGTATTTGAAAACGTCTCTAATTATAATTAAAAAATACAAAAATCAGAATTGTACGAATGGAATGTTAAAGAATAATAGGGAATTATGCTCGATTGCAGATGAATCACACTGTATATAAGTTAACTTCTCCGTGCTGTAATCATATTGATGTACCTGACTCTCAAATTTTTATTGGATCGCCTTTCTATTTAAAAAATCGAGATTCACGAATGACTGCGCCATGCTTTCTAACAGCATCTTGGTGTAATCGTTGATATCATGCGGAAATTAGTGTGTCAATGTGACCTGACTAACATTATATTATTATTATACAGTTAGGGTATTAGACTTTTTTACGACGCACCATCAATCAAGCTGCATTAACCAAGCTGCAGGTTGAGATCCTCGAGGCAAGGTATTTATTTCGATACAATACTCTAACAACTGTACGTCACACAATGTTTATGGTATCATAAGAAAATTTGTTTTATCGTCCAGAGCCAATCGTTTTTCGGTGACTGTTCTTTTAGTATCCGGACAAAAGAAAAAAATTGATATACCAATTAGTAGACTAACGACAATATCTGAGGTTATAACTTATAAGTTATGAAGTATAGAATTCTTATTGCCGGATCGAAATCAGTGAAACGGATGCAAATTCCTTGGCCTTGAGTGCAACAAAACGGTATACATAAATTCCTATATTATTTATCTAAATATTTTATCACAATGTCAGATAATAAAATAATTAGCTATTTTATTTTTGTATTCGTACAGAAAGAATTAATAGTATGGTATTAATTCTTTCTTAACATTTTTGTGTAAAATATATTGTAATTCGTATTGTTTATATAAGTAAGGTTTTTTTAAGTCATTAAAAATTAATATGACTTTATGATAAAAGCCACTTCCTTTTTTTATTTTTCTTACTTTTTATTTAGTGTGTATTTACAATGTTTTTTTTTTATCTCTTAACTGGAATAAACACTCAGTTAATTTACTTGGTACCTAGTTTATGGTTTGAAGTCAATTCACCTAACAGCCTTAGTAATAATTATTGTAACAATATACATTTTAATAGCCATACATCCAATAGGCTATATGTAACTCCCTCGTCCTCCTAATCTTATCATTACTCACATTTAATTCGCAATACGCTAGCTTAAAAAAAATCTATTTTAACTTTTAATAGTATTATAGTTAATCGACGTTAATGACCGTTTAATAACTTATGTTTTCGAATAACAGTTTAATGAATACAACTGAGAAAACTGATAATGTTATGATTTTAATTAACAAAACTAGTTATAAACAAAAATACATGAATGGTAGTAAGTTTGTAAATAAATGTTATCAAAAGTATAAAAAGTTTTTTTAAGTTTTTTCTTTTGATGTATTATCATCAACTATTTATAAAATTAAAATTGATCAGTATCTCTCGCCAGAAACATAAATCAACAAATTGAACAATTGAAAAATATTGTTATTCCAAGCAGTTTTTTCATTGATTAATTTTATATTACGAGAGCCTTTTATTTAGTTTTCGTCATATTGATCAAAGTTTTTAGTAAAAAATGTGAGTAAACGTTATAAATTTGATCTGCTTTAACAGCGTCCATCGAAATTGTACATACAATTATTCAAAACTAAATTGTATCCTTCATAGTTTTTTTCTTTATGGTTATTTTATTATTGAACGTAAATCGCAGAATCCGAGTCGTCAATTATTTCCTTAATTTTTCAAGATTAATATTAATTTTACTCATATGGGTCGCAAATGTAAATCATACATAAATATAAGACCCAGGATTTCGTTTATCTGTACATATTTTGTTTTATAAGTTTTTGATGATAAAATATTATGGATAACAAGAAATATCTATACCATTCTATTATACCTAATACATACCTTATACCAATTATACCTTAAACATATTGTAATGAAGTACTAAATAACCCACGCTAAATATTTTTATTTTTTTACTCACCACAACAGCAGATAAGACGATAACGAATAAAGTAGCTGCGCCGAATCCTACGATATCGTACAGCACACCAGCAATGGAAGGACCGATAAAAGCTCCGAGTGCAAAAGTGGAAGTCCAAAGTCCCGATATCAGACCGTAAGTTTCAAGGTTGTTTGCGAACCCGTGCTGACTGGAAAATCAAACAAATTATAATTTTAATAATACGAAAAAAAAATTTAAAAAATAACAGGAATTATTGTAACTCACTCACTAAGATTTTAATATTAAATTTAATGTTGGTTAATTTAATAATGTATTATATCAGTGTTGATTATTAAAACACAAAAAACTGTCAGTACCTATCTATCAGCAAAATGTCTTATGTATGTTCACACATTTATGCATCTCACATTATCATTCGAATTTGCATACAGAACCGTTATCGTATAATGGTGTGAGACATTTTTTACAGGATCAAAACACTTTTTAGAATTGGAAATAATCGATTTAAATCCCCCACCCGTAGTTTTTGGCTAACTGTTATTTACAGTCAAAATTATATACATATACAAACATAAAAACATAAAGTTTAAATAAGGAAAGTTTTGTATACATGAGCATGTAAATCAATAATTCTAATGTCACATTCAATTTAAAAGTAACGAACGGCTTATGTGATTTATTTTGAGATTACTGAAAAAAAATCTTACATGGCGGTCCGCAGAGCGTCGGTGAACGATGCAACAAGTTGTGCGCCGATTCCCATGCCGTGCATCACTAGTCCTAGTATGGTGACGGAAAATTCCCTGGAGATTTTCGAAAACACAGTCAACAGTCAATTATTTTTCAAACGTAATAATATTATTATAACATTAATTATAACTTAATATGTAGCACAGACATTTTTTTCATATTCAAAAATCACTTGCGCTTCACAACGAACACCCGTTGGATACTTACGTCGGTCTGTCAAGGAATGGCACCGGGCCGATAAGACTGAATCCGATCATGAGTATGATGCAACCCAGCAACGTGACGACCTTGGCAGGCAGCACTTTGTCGCACAGCCAACCCCACCAGGGCGCTGTCAATGCATAAGTCCCACCATTTATGACGAACATCAGCCCCAAGACCATTGGAGACAATTTGAACTGAAAAAAGAACAAAATAAATCAGAAATAACAGCGATGTAATTGTGCCAGCGGTCGTACTTGTCTGAGATGTGGTTCCAAGGTGGCCGACAAGAACCCGATGCTCATAGACGTCACGATAATACTAGCGGCCGCTAACATTATGCCAGGAATTTTCAATACTTTCAACAGACTAGCTGTAAATAAGTGAATAATTCAGTCATTAAAACACCATTTTAATTAAATGTTCATCTTAAAAATAAAATTATAATATTCCCGTAATAAGCAAACGTATTTTTTAAATTAATGCTTTAGAATAACTTGATATTATAATCAAATGTTTTAAAGTTTAAAAAAGATTTTAAATTTTATAAACCATAATATTTTTCAAATTAAAAATTACCATCACTAGTGACGTCATTTCTACGATTCGGGTGGTCGGGTAACACAAACGCAGTCATGATAGCCGAAAGGAAAAGCGTAGAGCCCAAAACTAAAAATGGAGTTACAAAGCCTCCGACCTAAAAAAAACAAATTTATTAGTATGACATTTTTTGCAATTTCATAATATTATAAAGATTGTATTCTGACTTGATACAAAGCTCCGCCAACGGTTGGTCCAACAATCAGCCCAAGTCCAAAAAATGTCTCAAGAGAAGCCTACAATTATTACATTTATATACAACATAATGTAATGCACGCATTCAATTCTAAAAAATTAATTATATATTTTGTTTCTTACAAATGTGGTAGCCACATTGTCCGGAAACTCCATAGCAATGATGGCAAAACTGGCTGTCAAAAATGCCGCATTTCCCATCGCTTCGACGATACGTATGACGAATGATAATATGATGAATAGATAATGGCCTTCCACCCTGTCCAAAAATCTGGTACCAAACAGTAAAAAAAAGCTCTGATTTTAATGAATTCATTAGGTTTTACGTCATCAAATTCAGAGTATTGATTTAATATCCCGAATCATTAATTTAATAATATGCACAAAGCACAAACAATAAACGCACGTATGTGTCCGCTAAAAAACAGTGAAATGAAATTTTTTGATAAAATAAAATGTAAAACTGTGTTTTATTTTATTGTGTCTCGTTAATCGAACATAAGTTATGAACAATAATACTTATAATACATTAATTAATATCCAGTCATTAATAATTCAAACATTTATTTTTAATATTTGTCTCATTTTTATTTTTAATCTAGTATTCGTGACTCTCGTATACAATATACATTAAAGTACTTCAAAGTAAAAATATCTACACAACAAGTTGTTATTAAACAGCGGAAATTTAGTTTTAATCTTTCACTTAAATAATCTATTACTTCTAAAAAAAAATCAAATGTGTGTAATCTTAACTTTAACAAGCTCAGATTTCATTTTTAAATAAAAAAAACCAGGGAAGTCGATCTGCTATAATGTAGGTGTCTAGTATATTTTTTATTTGTATTTTTGGTCGACATTGTAGTTACAAAACAAAAAAATTCTGCTCGAAGATAGACTGTCGAGTCAGCCTATAACTTTGGGTGTCCATAAATTGAGCCACAATTAATATTTTTTCCGAAAGGAGTACGGTAACTAAACCACAACTTAACTGTTTTTCTGAACTTCCTTATACTTGTTGGGGTAAAATTGTTTTTGGCTCAATAATAATGTTATAATTACTATAAATTTTAATTTATTTGTATAATTCTGTATATATGTATTTTCATTTAATTTAATAATTTTATAGCCTTTTTAAATGAATAAATATGTGACCTACATTAAATATAATTTATTTAAGTAATTTTGATTAAGTTATAAATATATGGCCCAATTTGAAGTACACGATTAAGCATTTCATCTTTTTGTTGAGATCCAATACTAAGGTAAAATATAAAAATAATTTGAATATGAAGCTGGTAGATAAAATGTGGCCCGACCGTCAATTATTTTATAATGCTTTTAATAATAGGTACTTCAAGTTTAACTAATTCTTGCCAAAAACAAATTGATTTATATTAAATTATGCGATTTCATATACCTATGAATATTAATAACTGTTATTTATTTACTTGTAAGTCAGTAGTCAATACCAACCAACCGTAGAACGATGTGAACTGCTTCATGAGATATATAGCATAAAATCAAATAAATTTGTTTATGGAAAAAGTGAAAAAATATTTTCAAATGTCTATAAATATCTAGGGTCAAAGCATTTTGAATTAGGTATGTATAGAAAATGCTATTATAAATATTTGATAAAAATATCAAGTCTACATAATTATTCAATTTTGAATTACAACACAAAAAAATGTAGTTAAAAATTGGTTTTGCCTAGTTTTTCTTTTTTTCTTTCTTGATTTTTTTGTAAAGTAGGTATTACACCAAATATCAACAATATAAAATTTTCTACCAACCACTATCAAAGTTTATGGTTGAAGTATATGACTGCCTACTAAAGGTGGTTTAAGACGCAAAATTGATTTTTAAAAACACTTTAATGTAAGACTAATAGATTCATTACTCCACTCAAAATCGTACTATTCATATAATCAAGAAAACAATAAAATAAATTATGAAAAAACTGTAATATTTTTGTAAAAGTAATTTTTGAAACCTTTTTTAATCACCACCTTTCCTTTAACGGTTTGTTTCGTTGTAATTAAAAAAAAAATAAATCCTTTGGCCATTACGTATGTTATAATTTTCTACACACAATAGACATGTTTTACTATTTATAACACGAACCTGTTTATATCGTTCTACTGTTGTACATAGGTATTGACTTTATAAGTTAGGTAATAATAATAATCATTGGTTATAACTTATAATTTATAATAGTACCTATTTATAATCAATGCAATAATAAACAATAATAAAATTGTATGATGAAATTGTTTAATAATATTTGCGATATTTTTAGCGAAATTCGGTTGAACCTACAATATAACTATTATTATTATAAATTAAGGGGATTGGTGGCGATCAGTTATTGTAGCCAAAACATACCAATTATTTGTCCATCATACTTAACGACCTATTTGAATGCAATAATACTCTTTAAAACTGATTTGAAATTGTTTTTATGTCTACTTAAGATCGACCAGTACACTTTTCCTAATTTGGCCCTCCGATTCCTATACATTTAATTTAATTAAAATCAGAAATCTTGCAGAGATAATAACTAATTTAGATCAGTTTCTCAAATGTATAGCGTTATTTTTTGGGATGGACAAAAAGTACATACAAATTAGCACAAATTGTTTACGCAACGCCGATATGGTGACATCTATACATGTGCGTGCGGAAGCGCTCAGTTATTTCTTCTACACAGTCACATACACTAATGAATAATGATCACTTACACATTAACAAGACCCATAAACATGCCATTTAAAAATTGCCTACTTTGAACTCCTTAAAAACTATTTTGTCCTCCACCATTTCCCTTAATTATAAAATATCAATAAAAATAGAGACTGACACTGGGCTCAGAATCGTTTTTCCTATTTAACACAACATCCATTACAGTGAGCTATATTTACCCAACTACGAAGTACACTTAAAAGTCAAAACCTACTATACAGCATAATGACTCCCCTGGTTTTTTTTCGATATTTTACTAAGGTATTCGGTAAATATTATATTTATTATAGCTGGTTGTAATTTTTTACTTACCCAAATAAAATGGCACATACTCCTGTAGTGAATATTCCTCCATTGAACAGATTTTTGGGACCAATCCTATTCAACTGAAACATTTAAAATTTTTTTTTTAAATCTGCAAAATTTTAAACTTCTTTAACTCACGTGTTTTCCATAAACGGGACTGATTAAAAACACGACCAGTTCAAAAACACCAAACACCAAACCATATTCTGTTGCAGTGGCTCCTTTCTTTTCAGCCTAAATTTAATATAAAATTGAACATATTTTTCATAAATATGTAATATTATTGTTTAATGTATATTGATCATTTTTATTTTTATATTTTATAAAAGTTTTAATTAAAACATTAACTGACTCGAATTTTCATATGTAACTTTTAAAAGAATATTATATCTAAAACGAAATATGTGCACTTAAAAATATGTATAAATATAATTTAGTATACATAGTGTTTGCGTATTATTATAATAAAACAAATATGCATTATGCATGTAAATTATATTTACGTTAGTGCAGAATCGTGTATTCGTGTATATATATGTTTATGTAAACATGACTTAAATGTTTTACGGAATTTTATAATCTTTCACGTTTCTTATACTATGAAATAAATGATATATTTGTTGGTTTAAATGCATTTAATGATTATTAGACTACAGCATTATCTGATTATCATATTAATGAATGCGTATATGTAGTACCTATCTATTAAAAATTCAAGAAATCAAAAAACTATTAACCATGCACAACTGTAATCGTAAATACTGTTTCCAAATTGAATGCATAGACTTTTGTAGTATTTACAAACAAAATACTAAATAGTGTCGAGGTTACCAGTAATCAAAAAAACCAAAGTGTTATGAAAACTTTGGACTTGAGAATAGCATAGTATAATAATGTAAAGGCTTTGTATTTAGGTCGAGATTGTAAATCGGAACACTTTTTACATATGCGCACCTTTATTTGTATTTGTAGGACAATGGCTACGTGACCTATTATATTATATTATATTATAATATTTAATAATATATAATATCACGCGAAGGAGTGCCGGCCCAATTTCTTTTAGCAACTATGACCAAATGCTTATCAAATGATGAAAAAAACTTAACACACCCATAAAAATGTGGCCAAAAATAGGATGGATAATTGAAACGGAGATTAACAATATATTATATTGTAGTTGTTCAGTTGTTATATACATATATCTCAGAGTTGTACACTAGTAGATACATGAGGTGAGCCACGTAAGAGAATTTTAACGGTCTTATGTCAGATAACTTAGTAACTTAACCTAGCTATTATATAATTAGATGCTGCACACATTTTGGGTAGGAGATTTAAACTTTTATTTTCTTTAAATCAATTAATATTGGTCACACAAAACCATACATTTAAAAAAAAAAGTGCACATTTTATCAGTAATATAATACTGATAAGCAATACATCCCCCCGCCCACCAACACCAGTACACCACACATACCCTGCGATCGCTAAAGATGTGTGAAGGGTTGACTGACATATTATTATGTTTGACATTAAACGGGGTCCTCGCGGCTATAAACCGACTCAAGTTTTACAACTTTACAAGACAGTAAATTTCCAATGATCCCATTTTTGCGTATAAAACGACACGTAGAAGACATTACAAAAGTCTGTGATACTGAACGCGTTTCTTTACCTAGGTAATATAGAATGTTTAGATGCTACACACATTTCGGGTAGGGGATTTAAATTGCGTTTTCATTAAATCAACTAATACCGATCATGAAAAACTATAAATAAATCGTCTAAAATTTTTAAAATAAAGCGCTTATAATACAATAAATATAATCCATATAATCCTAATGACCAAATACTGCCCTCTCCCCATGACCGCCAATACCGGAAATACCCTTGGGGCGCTATAGCTGCGTGCTGGGTTGACCGCGCACATAATTATGTTTAGCATTAAATGCGGTCCTCACCTCTTGCGGATAAAACGGAGCCTGCAACGATACGCAAATGGCGTTACAAAAGTCGGCGATACTGAACACGATTAACGTCAACCACTGTCGTTTGGTGAAATTTGATATACGTAGCATATTAAACGCGGACGGTCCACCTCGCAGATGCGCCGATGATTCTGCTGCTGCACTGCTGTCGCAAAAACCGACAGAGCTTTTGTCGTTGTCTTCGTCGTAGTCGTCGTCAACTGAATAAAATATGGATACGGCCGTCGATCACAGACGTCGATCGCAGGGTTCGAGAGAGGAGACTACGAGTCAGATTTTCATTCGGTTCCCGTGCGTGTGATTCGTGTCACATGATTGTTGCTGGACCGCGAATCTGTATGACATAATATTATTAAGGTATATCGTATGTGAGTAATATAAAAAATAAAACGTTTAATGAAATAAAACAAATCCCCCGCACATTGAAATCCATCTCGGCAATGATAAATGAAACGCGTCCATGTGCATAATAGACATCTATGTATATACCAGTATGTGCAACACGAATACCAATATATTTATAAAAAAAAATTATAAAACCATTTACGGGGTCGGTGACTCGGCGGGCAGGCCGTATCAGTATGTAAATACACACTAATACCGCAGCTATTGCATAATGTAGGTACATTATGTACACTACAAATTTACGGTATTACTATAATCAGTCGGTTAGACGGTAAATGACGATCGGTGGCACGTCGATCTCGCGACAAAATATAACCCTTCAGACCTCGTTGAAGAAAAACCATTTTATTGGTGAAAAAAAAAAGAAGAAAATACTACGCTTCCGATATTTTCGTATATGGCGCGAAATCAAATCACACACAATGTATTTGAGAATAATAATTATTGTGCATCCCATAATCGGTGACCCGAGCAGTACGCAGATGACCCACCGAACGCTCGTGCGTTCTAGCCCGTGTTTAGTGCACGTCATATGCATTTATCATCATCACTATCTCGTGCGATTGAACTATATTGTTGTTCAGACTTGAAAATATTGATAGGTATTTATTGGATTTTTCCCCGGAAAAATATTTTCATTCAACCCGTTGATAACACGGGATAAATACGCGTAAACGTAATTATAATATCTACCTACCTATAATGGCGTACGGGCGACTTTGTTTTGCTGTATGCGAATTGTTCATTTTAGGGGATGACGGGTTCAAATGTACGACGGACCCCGAACATTCGGATATGATATTTCTGTTGTCGGTATTATTACTATTAATTATTATTATTGATACGCCCGGACGAAACGATAATTCGACGGTTCCCGCATATAGATAAGCTAAGAAATCGTACAAACGAATAACGTAGATATCGAAAAGTGATATATATATATAATACGTGATAGGTAGAGGCACGTGTGACACCACACGAGTATACCCGCCTATCGCCGACGATACGAATACTGACAAGAGTGCGATCGAATCACACTCGACGAGACTAGCACAAACCACCGAAACCGTCGAAATAACACACGATATTATTCATAATAACAACGTGTCAGCGTAGTGACAGGTACATCATTGGGCGACGAGTGCGTTCAAAATGTCTATGAGTGTCTGATCGGACTAGAATTGCTGCGGTCCCGTCGACGGTTCTGCCCAGCAGAGTGCCGAACGTGGATATTAAAGTGAAAAAGGTAACGTAAATGTTTCAGACTTACTTATAATATACCTGACGATATCGATATTCGTATGAACCGCATGCGATGGCACAGACAGATCCGACGTGTGACGGCGATGCGTGAAATCCAGCTATGTGAAAAATACGCTAAAACTGTTTTTGAAATTCACTTCCAGACGAATGGCGGTGCAGGCCGACAGATATTATGTAGGTACAGCGCGACGTTAACAATAACAATAACCACGGGTAAAATTAATAATAATAATAATAATAATAATAATAATAACGATGTAGTGTCGCGAACGTGACGGAACAACGTGCGATCGCTTTTTATTGTCAATGATCAATGTGCACCGTGTTATTGGTGTTTAATAAATAAAATATTATTATAATAATTATTGTACCGAACAAACACGCGGCACACAACCAGACCAGAGGTGAATCCGCGTGTACATATAATAATATTAACGTTATATCGCCAAGTTCGTTATCTGCTCACGCTGGGGTAGCCAAGGTGGGGGTATCGAATTCTTACCTACATGGCTTGTACAACTGTTGAATGTGTACCTGCCTGCCTCCCATATACCAATAATGCGTACGTTTTCGTGATTATTATTATATTTTATTATTATTATTGTTATATGTGACCAAAGTTCGATGTAGACCTATAGGAGTGTACCTGCGTGTAATATAATTATGTCTTGCGCATATCGCCTATTAGTTAATGCGGTATACTAAGTTGGTCTACGACTACACGTGTGTAGTTGGAAGTCGAAAACAATTATTTGTAGGGGGAGGGGGAAGGGGGGGTAGAGAAGCACCAGTTCGCTGTAAATAATAAATAATTTTTCCAGCCTACATATTTACCACTATTACTAAGGAAATAATTCTAAGCACTTTTCTTCGGACAATATTCGTAAGAGAAAATTTTCAATCGTTTTTTTGGACCGCCAAACCCCCTCAAGATTACCCCGCTCATCGATTTCCAATGCGTTTTCTCGTACCTAATTATTATGACATACAAACCCATGCGAAGCTGAGATCATTTTTTGTCTAGACATGGTATTATATTATACCAAAGAAACTAAAAATAACCTACATAAATGTATACATGAGGTCTTATCGCCCAAAGGCCATCGCTTCGTATGCGATATCATAATATGTGTATAGTGTTCATATAATATATTATGGGATTTCGGATGATACAAATCTTGGTATTTTAATGTTGAACGGATATCTTATCATTACGTGTATGTATAAAGATAATAATACAGGTAATAATATAATAGCATACTGGTAGGTTAATCGTATATATTATAATAAAATAATCTAGCAGGGACTAGTCGATATAATGAGGGTTCTTTTTAACGAATTCTAGATACAATATTATTTTAATACACGCACAAGCATAAAGGTATTTTTTTTTCTACAATACTGTAAATTCGTATTATAGACTTTAGTTACAATATAGTGTTATTATACTTGTACGTGAAAATGTCAATTACAAAACTAACTTATTTTCCGAGCTTATAAATAACCTACTTTAATGATTTTCTTACGCTCATTGTGTTCACCAAGTTTAATGAGTCAAAAACGATATTTTACAATAAGTAAATTAAAGAGGAATGTGGTACTGAGTAAATAATATTACGCAGTAAGACTTTATTATACAGAACGATTCACCTATCATTTTCATCCCTCTTTATATTACCATTTTATCCTTTAATGATGACTTATTTATTTAAATACTAATTTTATGGAATTTTCAAATAAAGTTTAATACCTATATAATTCAAGCTAGCGATCCTAGCTGGAATTTTAGAAAGGATCTGCAAATATTAATTTTAAAAATTAATATGGGTTGTGGGATGCATATTATGATAAATGATTATCAATTTAAAAATTAATTATGCAATTTTACACACAATTTATGCCAATCATAAAATGTATTAACATAATAATAATAATAATAATAATATAAAGACAATTTTATTTGTATAACTGTATTTATTTATTATTTGGCTTTTTAATTTTATGTGATTTTGACGTTTATGAACGGAACCTCTTCATTTCTTAAAGATGACAGAACCACGAAAACATGTATTTTTATTTTTTTCATACTTCAGAATGTACTTACAGTTAATTTAATTTTAGCCAGGACTGCATGCTGCAATGGGTGCCTGGATTCTCCTATGGTAATACAAACTTATCTTTGTTAAACGAGAATAATATAATATAATATAATTTCTGCATTTTTTTAATTAACTAACATGATAGTCTTTTTAAAAGTACACATAAGAACAGCAGTTTTGGAATATTAGATTTTTTGGATTTAATTTACTTAACTATCAACTCATCAAGAATATATTATTTGGATTTGAATTAAAACATAAAGTAATATATAAGAAATAAAATAACAAAAAAGGGTAAACAACTGAGCTTGTATTCTTTTTCCGATTTGGTATTGTAAAGTTTTAATCGTTAAATCGTTTTACTTAATAATTCGACTAGTTATAATATGAGGTCATACAAAATACGCTCTAAAGAAATGCTCTAAACAAAAGTAAGAATAGTCAACGTATAAACTTACCCAATTCTTCGAATAATTTAAAAAAAAAATTTAAAAATCACTAAAATTTATTAGCATTTTTAATTGTGTGAGAAAATGATTTTGCGGGAGATGGAAATCATTAGGATTGCTTGTTTCACAATTATTTTCAAACAATTAGTCCATATGATAATAATAATGATTACATAACATTCAATCAAATATTATTAATTGTTGATAACAATTTCATTGAATATAGGAAAATCAACGATGTGCTATCTTTTACATTTTATACAGACACACAGTTCATTATCGCATAGGGCCAATATTCAATAGTATGCAGTTACGTACAAATGTACGAAACATAATAATGGTGATATAATATATTTGTAACGGTAACTGAATGCATGACAAAATATATATTTTGGGGCATTTGGCTAATGTAAAAAATTAATAATCATAATTTGTATTTTGGTAGCACAAATATTTCCTATTTTAAAACAAAAGAAAAAACATTAGTACCTTCCCATAGTGTGTAACATTTTTTTTTTCATAAATTCACCATCAGTATCGATAGCTTCAATTTATTATTATATTATTCGCATGCTATACAGAGACACAAGTTAAATATGCAAGTGTCATATTATAATTTTGACATAATACGATAATAACATAATACTCGTATAATAGAAGTAAACAGTATAACATTTTAATTTTGTTCTCTTATCAGTGTAATATACTAATATACACCGTTTTAATAGATTTATACGGATTGTTGTAGTAATAATAAAAATAATAAACACAGAAAAGGTTGTTACGTTTTAATTATAATATGTTGACTTTATTATTCTAAATTATGTTGATAGTCGTCGCTCATCTTAGATCATCGAGTAACTTTTACACTAATAATTCAAAATAACTAACGTCGAAGTAATGTGTGTCTGTCCACTAGGAGGCCCTTATATATTAAGATATCTAGTGAGTTTTCTTACGTTTTACATGAATTATGCTTAAAGTTCATTTACATAACAGATTGTAAAAATAAAAAAATACAAGAAGGTGAAATCGTAATTCACGAGGGGTCAATATAAACAAATAATTGTATTTGTGGAATAAATTTAAACGCGGCTCTTTAATGTTGTGTTATTTGTGACGCATGGTGATACACTTTTGCTGCAATAGTGCAATAATAGTGCATTCATACATGCATGCACTTTGTGCTATCGTAAAGTTCCTAATGGCTTTATTATATTTTTATTAGCAGTACCTATACGATTTAATTCATTGGATACCATGTAACCATTATTACCATCTAATAGGTCACGTTCAACAGTAATTAATTTACCACCGTGACTTACAGTCATCTATATTTTATACGGATTTTGAATTCATGGTGTATTAAAATTAATGAATAGTTTATTTAAATTAAGATATGTATATCTGGTTAAGATTAGTAAAAGCTGAGCCTATAAATTTACATTACTTGAAATCTGTAATATAAACGATCTAATAGTTCGTTAAACTTATAGAAAAATTATTAATTTTAATTTTCCGAATCAAAGTTAATATACCTTAGGTCTTAGATAATAAGAGTGTATAAATATGATTTATTTTAGTTATTAATCTTAATTTATAATATGAAAAAAACTTGTTGTAAAATACATGAAAAATATATAAAATATAAAATATTATATTATATAATATTATATAAGTATATGAATATTTTATATAGGATACAGTATACACTATACACTAGTATAGTAGTATACACTACTGTAGTACTGTAGGTTTAGACTTTAGTGAACCGTTCATCTATATACAGAGTGTCCCACAAGGATTTACACATTGCAATATCTCCTGAGATAATAAATATACTTAGGTCTGACAGTTGACCGTTGACTCACATGGTCACATCATATTAAAATTAAAAGGCTTGCCTTAAATGCATGACTCCGCATCCTTAAAACTCTAATTACCAAAAACAAACACATTCCATTAAATACTAAACTCTTAATTTATAAATCCTTGTTTAAGCCTATGTGGACCTATGGCCTTCAACTCTGGGGCCTCCCAAGACTCCCTAAAGGAACAGATTGTATATACCTTATAAAAATAATAAAAAAAATAAAAGATAGTAAACATATTAAAAATCTGTTTTTTCCATTACTCTAGCAGAGACAAGGATTATATAATATATTTTATTTTTTGATTGAATTAATTTTTTTTGGTACAAAAGTTACAATTATTTTTACATTTTTTTTATTTTTGAAGCAATTGAAGATATCTATTTCATAGAGTTTATTTTTCTAAAAATTTTAATCTTTCAACATATTATTTTCATTACTTTCATGATTTTTAATCATTTTTTTAGTTTACGGGTAATACTGCAGAAAAAAGGTATTTGTCCGATCAGGCAAGTTCCCCTCCACTGCTAGTAGGTATATCCTCACGGGACACCCTATATATTACAAAGATAATAAATATTATTCAGAAAATAAAAACTAACAAAAAAATAGTTTCCTCGAAAACAATTTCATTGTACCTATACATGGAATAATATTTAAACAGTTTATTTATTTAGAAATTATTATATAACTAGAAGTAAATAATGTTTATCGCCGTATGTATTATGAATTATAATTAACTATTGGTGTCCAACAGCGGACCCAAACTGTAACAAACTATTGAACAACAACTAAATAAAATATGTACCTAATTGTATTAATTTATGCAATATTCTAGAAGATTATATGGTTAAAATATTCCTACATATAAGAAATAGATAAAAAAAAATGTACGACTTAAAATGTATAAATGCATAATACCGTTGTTCTTTTTCATTTATTTAACGATTAAAGTATTAACAACAAAATTAAGGACATCGCTATAAATCGTTTTGTCGAGTTTAGTTAATT